ATGCTTGTGAAATTTAGAAAAAAATAAGACTTCAACAAGAATTGCTTTGCTTTTTATGAGCAAGGATGACACCATGTGGTAGCAATAGGTAGATGGCAAGAATCTAAAATTAAGAAAACAAAACAAAACTCAATGCTACTTTTCTCAACAAATGAATTAAAGTAATTAAAGAATCACATCAGATTAATTTGAGCTTGACCCCCGCTGTTAATGGCATTTTTTTTCAATTTTACAAAGAACGAACAATTGATTAGGAATAGAATCCATGAATCTAATAAGTATTGTATCATACAGTATCATTTTCAAGCTATAAGACAATGTTATATATAATTATATGAGGGTTTTTTTGTTTATTATTTATTTATTTATTATTATTGAATTATATGACATTTTAGATGAAAATTGCCTTAGAATTTTCCTGAAGAATTTTTGATTGTAACCTAGAAAAAAAACCAAAATTATTTTGAAATAATTGTATCCACCCATTTTCAGTTTCTTCTCCAGTCATACTTTCTTGTTATAATAGCCATGATTTCGTATTGCTGCAGGATGAGCAGAATGTAGATGAACTCTACCCAAAAACTAAATAAAATAAATTATTTCCAGAAGGCTTGCATAATTGGTTATAGGCTAAACACTGCATTACATGTAAAAAGATAATATATGCTACAGGTAGCACACACATATATATATATATATATATATATATATATATATATATATATATCTTTTATCTAGTCTATTTATAACAGATTCAGGGAGCTTTATTGTTTTATGAATTCCTCAGAGAAAAATCAGTGATGGATTTTTTGAAGTTTTGAAGAAGCTTATTAACCAATATCTGGGTAACCTAGGTGCAGGTATTCTGTGCCACCTAGGATTTGGTCAGCTGTTAAACCAATCAAGTGTTCATTGTAAAGTTCATTGGAAAAAAAAAGTAGTATATGAGTTAATTGTCATGTTGTCAGATAAAGTTAAGTATGAATACAGATCTGTTTCCAAAACAAGAGACAAATAGAAACTAGACCTCCTGTTCAAAAAGTGGAAGTTGAGAAGTTCCTTACAGTATATTGGACAAGCAAGAAAAGGAAATCCCAAAGGATTTGAAATACTGATTTTATAAATAGGGTTTATTCTTCAGACACAGTAGTTACAGTTGTCACATCTTCCAATATTTTCTCCAATAAAAACTAGTTATCAGAAAATCTTTGCTTCTTGGGAGCTTGCTTAATTGGTTCCAATCCTGTCTGTAGGCTGCAGCTTGACACAGAATTACAAGAGGCTAGCCATTTATTGATTGAAATACTGAAAAATAAGAAAAAACCTTGGCAGCAACTACATCAACAGTTATTTAATGTTTTTTCTATTAGAGAAACCTATTATTGTTAGTTAATGTCTTTACTTTTATTGCAGTTAATATTACATAGGCTAGATGAAATGTAAAAAAAATAAAGTAACGCCCAACAAAACTCAAGTCAAGCTTCATTCTTTTCTGTCAGTGGTCTTATGCTAGATCCCTTTGGAGAAATCCTGCTGTACGTTAGTGTGACATGGCATTGATTCAACCAGAGCCCTGTGGCTGCTTTTAATGTGAAGCACAACTCTCAAGACTAATCTTATACTTAGACTGAAATCTAAATTAAAGAGTAACAGGCATATGGTTGTCTAACAAAGGAGAACTACCATCTCTCATAATTCCATTAACAAACTTCTCTTACCATTAATATTCAATATTGAATATTGATCTAATATTCAATTAGATTCTGCTGCCAAACCTAGACACAAGTGGAAATCCTTCCAGAGCTGTTGGGGATTGTTAAACATCTGTTGGATAGTCTTCTGGTTCTGGAATTGGACTGGACTGTACTATGCTGTTCTGTGGAGATAACTGTGAAGTCTTGTCTGGTTATTAAGGCTGAATTTGATCTGACTACACCAGTTGAAGCAGGTAGGATCCTTGGAATATTAAATTTTACAGCCTGTGTTAGATCTCCTTCCTTCCTGGTTAGTTATAGCCTCTCAGGAGGTGACATGTACCTGGGTTCAAGGGATAGTAGATTCTTCAAGGGAAGGGCCTACTCCATCTCCTGGAAGCGTTTTGGGAGATGTAGCTGGTTTTAAAATGCAATGGCTTGGTTCCAGAATGGGATATCTGATCATGCACTTAGAACTGGAGTGACATGATAGCAGTGTTCCAATATCTAACGGACTGCCACAAAGAAGAGGTAAACCTATTCTCCAGAAAGCCGGATAAGCATCAATGAGTGGAAATTAATCAAGGAAAGACCAACCTAGAAATGAGAAACTTCCTGACAGCAAAAACAATTAACCAGTGGAATGGCTTGCCTTCAGAAGTTATGGGTGCTCCATCATTGGAGGCTTTTAAAAATTAACTAACAGCCATTTGTCTGAAAAGCTACAGTCTCCTATTTGAGCAGGGGGGTGGAATCTGAGATCTTCAAGTTTCCTTTCAACTTTGTGTTTCTGTATTCTATGCTGAAGCAACTGCAGTGGGTATCTATCAATCAGCAGGCCTATTATTTTATCTTTAAGCTTTGAAGATATAAAGATGCTTCAAGGAAAACGAGGGTATCTTTAAAGTGTACCTTTTCCCATGAAGAAAGTATAATACTTTCAGAATTTTGGTATTTCTTAAAAATATACTACACTATTCGATTATTCTAGAAGTTTCTCCATTAAATGATGAAAGAAATCTTTGATTCACATGAAGTGTACAATCCAAAATCCAACTTTTACCACCAGTCATTTAGAAGTAGGCATAACATGAATACTAAACTAACACAATTATTTGGAATATACACCAAACTCAGATGATTTTGAATAATTGAAGACTTCCGTGACTCTGTAATCTGATTACATGTAAGCCATCATGTAGTTTTGTTTAGAAACAATATAGAAAAGATTTGCCATTTCCTTTTGAGATATTTTTGTGCTTTCTAGTATAGCCTACAGCCTTGGGATTTCCTAATGCTCTCATTGTAGTAACCAGATGAAAACTAAAGTGCAAGTGTAAGGGTTTGGTATGTATGCATGGTGGGTATGTGTGAGTGTTGGGAGCCTGGGAAGCTTATCTGTCACATTGCTAAGGCCTGTTGCAATCTACCAAAGAATCCTGCACAATTGCACTGCTTCCAGTATTTCTGCACATTATTGCTCTAGTTATGCTGCTATTGCATCAAATGTCAAAAAATGAGCTGGTGTTCCTGATGGAGAAACTAGTTTAGAAATAGGCCTGCAATCAATGTATATAACTTCAGGAATTTTTTTATTTTTAGTCATTTTATTAAGATTTATAGGCCGCCCTTCTCCCTGAGGGGACTACGTTGGCTCATGTGACAAACATTTACACTTTGCTCTTTATACAGTAGTTTTATTCATTTTTCAAAGATGTTCTAGCTGCTGGTTTTGAAGAAAATTTAGCAGGTTCTGTTTATCTGCCTTTTCTTTTATATGGAAGGGACATGGAATAATTGCACCAGTTGCACCAATAACTGCCAAGGATGGAGCAGGAATGCTTTTCTCCCCTTTTATTGGATTTTAAAAAAGGATGATTTTTTTTCCTTATGACATGACTTTTATTGCTGCCTATGGAGGTAACTTTTCTCTCTTGCAACAAGTGGCATTGAATGATCATGGGACTATCAATCACAGGTAATGGTATCTGGAAATGTTTCCATGTTTCTTTGCAACTCCCATACATGCATGTGCCTTGAGCTTATGTATGTCTTCCAAAGCATGCTGTAGACTTACATCATTGGGTCCAAGAGTGCCTATCCCTGGAAAAGTGATACAACCAAAAGATCTTAGCCTCAAACTCCTCATGGGAATTGTGCCTATTGTAGAAACCTCGATTCTACAGTCTTTACTGAGGATAAAAATGGGTTGGGTGGAGAAAACCACATCCTGCTCAGTAGGATGATCTGGATGCGTTGGTGTTGAAGGAATATAGTAGTCAAATGAGAAGGAGGACTGGTAATCTATACTTATAGTTGGGCAGTTAACTAACAAGTGTAGGACTGTTAATCCTTGCAGCCTGGAAAAAAGAGTGTTTTGGCATTATATGGTTCTTGCCCTTAAAAAAATAAGGTACATTATAAATATTTTTTGTAACGTCCAGGATGGTAAAGCAGTTGTTTTCATTTTTCATTTAAGACACACAGCTTATTCCACAGTAATATAATTCAGAATTTAGGCTAAAAAAAATAATCATTCTGTTGCTTTCAAATTAAGGAACTTAATGCTTTAGAAACTACAAACAAGCACTAGAAAGATTAAGCCAATCCATGGCACTCCAAATGCTGAATTACAATTGTCAATATTTTTAGTATTAGCATTGGCTGATGTGGAATTGTTCCTAAGTAACATCTGGAACTCTACAGGCTATTCCTAAACTAGGAGTTTTTAGCTTTAAAAAGTGAAGCTACAGAAGAGGGAGGATGCCTATCCCCACGATAAGAGTGATTCAATCATCCTTAGTTTCAAAGTGAATACAGAAAAAAAGATGGGCACTGTAGAAAAAGGAAAAGCATCGTTGCTTCTCTAAGAAGCCAAAGCAGCATCAATACTCCCTTCTTAACATGAGATTTATAAAATTATTTTTCAAAGTTGACAAGCACTGCAGACTGACATTTCAATTATTTCTGCCCATCAGTAAATAATTCAAACCAACTTCCAATTTTGGAGTTTCCAGAATTGGAAAGGATTGAAGAAATAGGAAAGCCCCTAAAAATTTTATAGATAGGAGAACACCTTGACAAAAGCATCCCTATTGTTGTCTGCTTTTCGTTGTACCGTCTTTCCTCCTATCTATTCCAAATCTCCAGGACTGCTTCAAAAGATTGTTGGGTAGGACAAACAAGCTTTATGGAGAAGGTGTGCATTAATCTAGCACTTCAAAATAATCCTTGTCAATTAAAAAGATATGCTGTCTTTTAGGAATAAAATAGATTGCTATCTAGACTACCAGGTAAAGCCAAGCAGACAAAAAGAAAACATGACATTTTTTTTAAAAAAATGTATTTACATGAGGATAAACATGATTCCAAGTTGCACATTTTCCCATTAAACTGAATTGATGTATATCTACTTTTGATTTCAAATTCACTTGTGGCCCACACTAAAATATCTGGAAGGGAAAAGGGTGCTTGCTTTTGGTTTAACTTCTATTCCAGATATCTTATGAAGTATTTTATGAGCACATTTATGGGAACTTCCCATATTTTCATCTGCAGCACAACTTTCAGATTACAACAGTGTAAAATTATACAGGAAATACAAATATGTAAATGATTCTGAAGTATGGAACTCATGTGCAGTCCTCCTCATTTCAACTCAAGATACTGTTGCAGAAGTAACAAAATGCACGCATTATGCCGGGTACATGAAATGCAAATAACAGGATATCAAAGGTAACCTTATATTCTTTTAACAGAAGCAAAAAATCTCGTGCAACTCAGTATGTCCATGAATTTCTATATACCTAAATATAGTGGATTCTGTTGTAGATAGTATCCAGTAATTATTTCTTGGCATTAAGACTATCCTTGCATATTTAAAATTTATATAATTTAAATTGTTCACAAGAAAAAAAGGAAAAAAATAAAACACACATAGCATATAAAAGCAGGCATCCTATGTTGATGGGATTGAGAAGCTGTTTAATAGAAGCCCGTAGGGCAATACTACAGCGTGCTTTTAAAACTTGAGGGTTTAAAAATAATAGCTTGAATACTCTGGCAGGAAAAAAAAGCAGCAAAAAGTTAACATGAGACAAAAATAAAAATGCAATAATGAAACATTAGGTGTTTATGCTATGTACTGTAGTTTAAGACCCTATAATGAAGATAAAAACAGACATTTTAAAAATGGCTGATCAATTTTTTAATGCACTACTGTTAGTTTGGCTTTGGTGTTCCATTTGCTTTTGTTCTAGGTTTTGTCAAACAAGCATTACGTGGTCATGTTCGTTTCAAATGCTTAGCATTATAATGAGATCGCATATCTTTTCTCAGATTAAATTTGGCTCCACAAACCCCACATGTGTACAGATGAACATCCATGTGTTGTTCAAGTTGTTCATTATCTGGAAAGATCTGGAAACAGACTTGACAAATTGTCTCTCCAGGTGACAGATGGGAGATCATATGCCGGACATGATCATGTTTTCGGAAGTTCCCTTGGTCACAAATGGAGCAGATATACCTGGCCATGCCTTTGTGCATGTCATTGTGAAGGCGCAGCTGACGCTCTCGTAAAAACTGCTTCCCACATGTCTGACAAACAAATTGTTTTTCCTTGGTGTGCACAGTATAATGTTCTCGCAAATGACAACGCTGATAAAATCCTTTCCCACAAAGATTACAGAAATGCTTGCGTCGGTGATCCCTTTCATTCTCTTCCATAATTGCGTTCTTAAACAGATCTTGTTCCAAACAACTGGACATATGTTCAACTACCAAATTCTCTGTTTCAAAACGTAACCCACAGTTAGGACATCTGAAAGGGCATGCTGAATCCCTATACAGTTGTTTTTTTGGGAGTGTGTTCATCTGAAAATGGCTGTCTCCAAACTCATCTAACATGTCTACGTACATCATTTCTTGGTTTTCAGACTGTTCTTCAGGACTCTCTTCCAAATCAACTTTCTCCTCCATGTTCCTCAAACCATTGGTGGTTAAGTCTTGTGGCTCTCCACAAGTCTGTGCATGATCCTGTAACTGCCGTCCTTTTACTAATATTTGGCCACATTTCCCACAGGCACATATATTTTCTATGTGTTTGGATAAGTAATGAGAAGACAAATCTTCTTCTGTGATTGTCAGACCACACAGTTCACAAGATGCATTTTCCGTCACCTCCTTGGCTTTATTTGCACTGACTTTATTTGCAAGGACTCTGGTACTTTTAATATATTTCCTAGCTTGCTCATCGATAAGCATGTGGGGTTTTAAAAGGGCCTTTCTAACACTTCTATTTTCACTGACATCTTCCTCAATGTAGTATCTATAAACATGTTCATCATCATCTAGCTCTTCATTATCAGTGGAATCATTGCCATTTGTTACCTTAACAATATTAAACTCCTTCAGGTCATCTGTAGGGTTATCATCTGGTTCCATTTTGACGATAATCCTTTTCCTTTCTGTGGCTCTGCTTCGCTCTTCATTTAATGGCTCTGTTGAGGCACCCCTGCTTTTTCCACGTGTTGTATTTGATGCTGTGGGGGAAGAACTCTCAGCAGATTGGTTTGCACTTGCTTGATATTTCTCCAATTGGGAAACTGACATTTTAGAAGTAGAGTCCCTTTCACTGCTGTCATTCTCAGACCCCAAATACCTGGGGTTTTGATAAGAATGCCTATTAGTGCATGACATGATATGCTCATCTAACAGCCTCTCACAGCTGAAACTGAAGCCACAGCCATCACAGGTAAAGCTTCTTCCAAAGCGCCGTGAATTGGGCACTCTATCTTTGGCACCTGAGAGTTTTGACGCACTGGCCCTTTTGCAACTCTCCAAAGGTTGATCAGAGAAATTGTTTACTTGCAAAGCTTCATCATCAACCTCTCTGCTTTGGGAAGTACTCACAGTAGAACTTGGTGGCTCTGCACTCCACTTGTTTGCATCACTCTTGTTTTTAGCCAGTGTATCTTCATACATTCGAACACCAAAAATCATTTTGTTATTTTGAGTGCTGGAAGCAGAAGAAGAGCACTGTAAACCAGAAGAGTTTGTATCTTGTATATCTTCCAGACATTCTGGCATGTTGTAGAGCTGTAGGGAGTTCATGGCTGCTTTAAATTGCTCAAAGTTAGCTGGGGCTGTCATAATTTTCCCTAAATACATAAACTGTAAAATGAGATCAAAGCACTCAGCTGTAATCTTCATGTTGCTGAGGTTCAACTGTGCTGTGCTTTGCTGCTGGCTCATGAAAAACATCCTAAAATAAGAACTGCAAGCAGCCAAGACAGCTTTATGTGCCTGGAAGTAGATATCATCAATTGCAATGCAGCAATCACAGAGAAATCCCCATTCTCTTTGGTTGTTCAGTTGTTGAAGAACATAATTGCTGTGGCTAGTCTTTGCCATCTTGTGCTTGAATCACAACCTGTGCCAATAGAAAGGGAGAAAAGGACAAGTATTAGTTATGTTTAGAAAAAATACATAATCAGATTCCATCATACATCATATGACCCTAACTATTTATCACATTGCCAGATGACAACAAACAAAAGGATCCTCCATTTTGAATTTCAGTCTAGAAGACCTTTAGGAATATGGCTTGGAAGAATCCTTTGACTTCTCATTCAAAGGAAGATCGTTAAGAATTAAATAAGATTGCAACCCTACTATGTATATGGAGAACCTAGCTACGCATTCTACTTCACATTATGATGTTACTGTAAGGTTTCCAATTAACACACCCATAGCAAACAGATTTTTCTAAAGGATTTTAAATATACATATAATCCAAAGTATACCATTACATCTTAACAAACATTTTTTAATATTCAATATTATATCAATTCCTCTTACCATCCAGCCACATCAACTTTTATTTGCTCTTCTCCTTCTCCATTCATGCACTATATTATAGTCTCTTTCATCTTCGACCTTTCTCCTCTCCCTCTCTCCTCCTCCCTACCTCCTTTCTTCCCTCTGCCATCTCTCCCTTCTCTACTTCCCCTTGCTCTCTCCCTCTCCTCTCCCCTCTCTCCTTCACTTTTCCTCCCTTCTGCTTCCCTCTCTCCTGTCTCCTCTCTCTCTCTTTTCCTCCTTTCCGCTCTTTAATTTGCATGGTGTGTTTCAATGTCTGAGCAAGCTCCATTTAATATTAGTGGCATTAATAATAATATTCCAGAAAATATTTTCCATATTCCTAATTGTACATATCTTCTCCTTATAAAAGTATACTTATAAACAGAATTCTGAGGCAAGCAGTTTCCTCAAAGAACACGTTTATGCAGTACTGCAGGCCACTTCAGCTGACTGTTATCTGCAGTTCAGCGGTTCTAATCTCACCAGCTCAAGGGTGACTCAACCTTCCATCCTTCCGAGGTGGTGAAATGAGGACCCAGACTGTGGGGGCGATATGCTGACTCTGTAAACCACTTAGAGAGAGCTGAAAGCCCTGTGAAGCGGTATATAAGTCTAACTGCTATTGCTATGTATCATATTGGCACAAGCTGGTGAAAACCAACTCTAAAGATTCCCACCGTTTTCACTTAATTAAAAGCAAAAGTTTTCCCCCATTTCCCAAACAATCAGTCGCATGATCCAATCAAAGTGGTGTCCGGTTGCTTGGAAACTTCACTCCTCCTCTCTTCAGTCACCTGTGGGAGTGTCCTTGGTTCACAGGGGAAACTATTTTGTTTTGGCTATAAAACCTCAGCTATCTCTATTCCTCCCTCCCTATCCCTCAGCACTATTGTAGTAGCACTGAAGCCTCCAAGATGACCTCAGTCATCTTCAGCTTCAGAATTGACAGTTATCTACTTTGGGTAATAAAACATCTGCCAGAAAACAACCCAGCTCAGAAAGCATCAAGGAGCCCACATTTCAACCCTGAGCTTCAACTATTCTCAATACTTGAACTATAAAGATTTATATTATATTGACACATGTAAAAAGTAACCATGCATAGGTGCACATTTTGCTTCTTGAGAATTTCCTGAGACATTGATTAAGAATGCTGGAAGAGATTTCGGAAAACTAGAAGTATGTACTCAGGGTCTCAAATATTTTAAATTGTATTCCTTCCTCTGTTTTTTTTTTTCTTTAGCAATTACACTTTCATTGGCATGGGGGAGGGATGCCAAGGAAGATTAGGCAATAAGCAGAGAGATAAGAGTCTTATCTAGAAGAAGAAACTGATACTGGAACTTTACCTAAATTTTCTGATATATTTTTTTTGCCTCTACAGAAAGCCTTCAGATCTATAGTAACAAAGTTTAGATTCAAATTTAAATATATAGACAGCTCTCTATAGCTTAATTTTTAAAAAAGCAATTGTGTCTTCCTGGATAGCTGCTGTTGTTATTATCATTACATTTAAAGTTATAGGGCAACTTTCCCCAGCCTGTTTTTCCCCGTGTCTGTGAACTTCAACTACCAAAATTCTCAGCAATGGCTATATTGGTAAATGAATTCTTGGAAGAGTTTCACATATTTAGAAAATATCCCATTGGGAAAAGGCTGACTTACAAGTATCACATGAGTCCACAATCAGGGCAGAATATGTGGTTGAAGTAAAGCACCACTGACTTTATAATCTTCAAGATGAATATGAAAAACGTATGATCAGATTTGCCAACAATTTTAAAGAAATCACTGGTAATGAGATAGGAGAGAACTGAGATAAATAAATTTAAGCTGTTATATAGTGCCTATCTTTTTTCTCCGGGTCTAATAGCAGAGCAGGAAAGAGAGAAATATGCATTCTGATGTTGAAAATGACTGTTATTTTAAGAGGTGTTTGCAGGATGGGCCAGTTCCCACCCTAGGTTAGATAGACAGTATTGGGGGTTGGAGGTGTCTCCTTTGTGACTTGTTTTCAGGATCTCGGGAGCACACACTGCATTGAAACTGGAGTCAGAGGAAAGGAGCCCAGAGGCATGGCTTCAGCTTCAACACAGTCTTGAGGCCAATTGGCTGTGATAATACCATCATTGGCCCATCCTGCAAACACCTCTTAAAATAACAGTTCAGGTAAGACCAACTGTCATTTTCCAGGGTGGGTTTGCAGGATGGTCTAGTGATGGGACATACCCAAGTTTCCGACCCATAGGGTGGGCCCTCACTAATCCGATAGGACCTGTTGCAAGACCCTGCAGCCGAACGTCGTGTCGGAGGATGCGAAAGCATCCAGTCTGTAGTGTCGGATAAAGGGCGATGGGGAGGCCCACGTAGCTGCCCTGCAGATGTCTTCTATAGGGACCTGGGAGGCCCAGGCCACCAAGGTGGCTGCACTCCTGGTGGAGTGTGTCATGATTTCGGCCGGAACCGCAAGTTTTGCGC